ATCTATGTTAATACTTCCAAACCAGCACAATGTTGTATTGGTGTAAATGGAATTATAGTTTACGTTATTTATGATGTGCTGGTTTGGAAGTATTAACATAGATGTGGATGTTGTATTGGTGTAAATGGAAGTATCTTCTACGTTATTTATGGTGTGCTGGTTTGGAAGTATTAACATAGATATGTATGTTGTATTGGTGTAAATGGAAGTATCTTCTACGTTATTTATGGTGTGCTGGTTTGGAAGTATTAACATAGATATGTATGTTGTATTGGTGTAAATGGAACTATCTTTTACGTCATTTATGAATGTATCTATGTTAATACTTCCAAACCAGCACACCATAAATAACGTAGAAGGTACTTCCATTTACACCAATACAACATACATATCTATGTTAATACTTCCAAACCAGCACATTATAAATAACATAGAAGATACTTCAATTTACACCATACATATCATACATAACGCAAGTTATGCCCCCACTGTAGAACTTCAGATATAAGTCAAGATATAGTTTCATACAATATATCATACATATCGAACGTTACGCCCCCCCCCCCACCACACTAGTACATCAGTAAATTGTACGTAGGAACTTGTCACATAGCACTGGAAAGACAAAAAGTAAATCAATCAAACCGATTCTCCACTGTGTAGAATATCAGCTTGTTAATAGAACGTTTATTTAAATTTCTAATTTATATTTCTTCTTTTTCTAAGCACCTGTACACTATGTATGATCTTTAACCTTCCAGTGAATCGTGTAACCAGCTTTATAATAATGTTTGAAGAAAACCGTACAAAATGATGAATATACATGCACCTCCAATGTTGCGAATAATCCTTTGATTATAAATATTTTAATCCCAGTCTCATACTATAGTATAGAGTCTTCAGAATTCCAGTCGTACGTCAGGCGAAAAGTATCTGTGGTTTTCTGAACTAGTTTTTAGACACGATGAAAGTTAACTTATGAGCTTTAATTCTCAAGACATTGGAGTTTCTTTCATGATTTCTGGTGTTAATGTTATCCTAACATGAAGTAACGTTATTTAAAGAAAAATGTGACGTTAACCGGTCACAGGAATGCTGGCATCAAATTTCATGGTAGGTGTATAACTAGGTGCTTATGTATTATATCACAAGGCATATTATTCCACTCAGTTCATACGTGATCTGTGGCTGGAAACATATATCCCTTCAGATTCACACGATGAGAATAATTTATGAACTGATAAGCAGTCATCAACCGACCGTTTAAAAGTTACTTAACCATGAATCGTTTACCATTTCTGGCAGAATTGATTATTTTATGCATGTCTTGATAATGGTCTTGTACAAACGCCAGTTAATACCAGTTACCCAACGAAAACCACGTAGGCAAAGGACAATGTTCAAATTGAATTCAGTTATTAATAAGAACTTCTGCGTGAAAGAAAAGAAGAGTGTATAAAAATATGGAAACCTTACTGTTTATGGTGAAATAATTTTATTACCAAGCTAATATTATAGATAGGATTTATTTATGATATAGTTCGCGACCCACTGCTGCAAAAACGCACTTCGCACTTCGGAACCATGGTTGAGTCCAAGAGTGAGCGGTCATTTCTTCTATTTGATAAAATAAGCGTAGCCCAAAAGTTGGCGGTTGATGCTGCTGATTTGTTGCCTTAGCTATTTTTACTCTCTATAGTCTATCAGCTTAAAATAAGGGACGTCTATGTGGAGATAGTTCTCGTAAGGCTTTCCTAGAAATTCTGAACAAACAACATTTACAGTGAAACTATGATGATACGGTTAATGATAAATTAGTAAAAAGTTTTTTTACGCCTTATTTCTTAGAATCTCAATGATTTATGCGAAATAAATCATCACGAAACACAGCTAAAAATCTTTTAAACTTCACTCAAAAAATACATTACGCTTATAATTGACTTCCTTTACCAAATGTTCTAACAGATCTATTCAGTGTACGTATTGGAATATTACTTTAAACCAAGTATGCTATAAAACAAGTAGTATTACAAGACTTCTTTTGTTCTTGGTATAAATGGTTTGGTGTTGTAGGAAAAGCAGGTCTATTTTGTATGGTGTGATAGGACAAAGGGGAAGAAATTGGTTAGCCTAATTAGATGTTCTTGTAAGGATAGCAGTCAGCTCGCCTATTATTCATAAATTCGATCCTCTAAGGAATTAGAAATCTGGCAGGATAACAGACTGGGGAGAAGGATGTGACTGGGAGACGAAACAGGCTTCGTGCTCAATAACTTAATTGTACTGAAACTTCATTATAGTTATTAAAGTGATTACACAAAACTCAGCGAGACAGATGCTACAAAAAAGTATTTTAATATCCTTCGACATACATTTTTATAGAATGGGTCTAGTTTTTTTTTTTCATTTTTTAAAATTTCCTAGAAGCTTCATATAACTGCTTCGAAATCTCACTGAAACGTGATAGGACTGAACTAGTTAACGAGTGCGCGGAAAACGTTTCAGCGTGATTAAAGCTACATGGAAATATAAAACCTTTAGCAAGCTAGAGATTATACTTAATTCTTTAAAAGTTTGAAGAGATGAAGTACGTTCAACTTCTATTGTGGTCGAGAAAAAATTAAGATTAAAGAATGAACTTATTAAATCTAACCCAGTACTCCTCATTAGCAACTAACTGGAACTCCAGAAGAGGCGGCCCTTGAAATTCCAAACAAAATCGATCCATTCATAATGCGTGAAATAAATCCTCTGTTAACATCTTGTTTTCTGGTCTCAGTGTAATAACTGTCTCAGCAAAAACTCTACTGGGTAAAAAAAAGAAGAACTGGTAAAAGTAAGATGAGTTGAATATGGAAAGGAAAACTCAGTTTTAATTTCTGATCGCTCTGCATCACGTAAGAAACACACATCAAAAGAATAATTAAGAACACTTATACATACACGTTCTCAACATCACATATCACAATTTAAAAGTAGTTTAGTGATTCGTCTTGAAACTTTAACTACATTAATAAAAATCCATCAGGTGATCTACTGTTCCTAAAAAAAATGCATATCAAATAGAGACACAATTTTCCCGAACGATTTGTGTAATTAAATAGGACTTGTTTGTTTTATAGCTCAAAGCTATACAATGGGCTACCACGGGTATCGAAACCTGATTTTTAATGTTATAAGCTGTTAAACACAAAGTACATAAAGGGTTTCAAAAACCGGTTTTTAGCATGATAAGTCTTCAGACATTC